TCATATTGAGTAAATGCATAAATTATTGCTTCATTTAACCATACGTATTGTATAAATGTCATTTGTAATGCGCTTTTCATTCAAGCAATAATTGACATTTGCATTATCAGTGTTAATATATGCATAATATATTCAATAGAAAGAAGAAAATTAAGTATCGTGCTTCTCGGTATATAATAATCTCTCAGTACTTGACATTACATAAAAATATATACGATTAAAATACACGCTTTTCAGATGAGAGAAACAATATCTAATGTGAGTAATCATACGAACAAATGCATTTATTTAGTGTGCTGTGGCAAATGAACATGCTCAGGTAAAAAACGAGGCCAACAGGTTTTTGCCTCATGTCTGAAACGGTAGATAAATTATCATAGCAGTTTCCGTCGCATTATGTTACTTCAATAAGCATTTTCGTATTGTATTTTATTTGATCGAAGTTAAAAAATGAATATATTTAAAAATAATATTAATGAGGCATCCCAGGAAATATTATAAGACTTTCGAAATCGCTTACTCAAAAATATTGATTACATCTGACAGCGTAGACGAATATTTAGAGACGAGAAGGCGAAAGATAATTTTCTTCCTAATCCAAATTTATGCAAACGATGCGGGTAGAAAATCATAACTAAAACAGAAGGAGAATGCGAGTCTGCCGCTCACGATTTTGTCCGAGAGCAAGCTCACCTGTCATCGGACAAACAATGGAAGACGAGCGAGAGAATGAGGAGGTGGTGCAAGATGGACGGGGAGAAAAAGAGATGGACAGCGCGTAAATAAGTGTAAAAAGAGGCAAAAAGAGAGAGAAAGTGGGACCGGGGTGTTTCCCTGCCCCTCCTCGTCTCGGTGCCATCCTCAACCTCTACGTCGCGGGGCTATAATTTGGTCCTTGGAGTTGCCACGCCCACGCATATACATCACCCTACTATCGAGATCTCGTGAGTCAGATAAGGCTTGTCACTTTGTCGGCGTATGTATATGTACACGCGCGCGCGCACACACGCGTGGAACGCGCGGAATAGTGGAGATGAGAATCCGGATAACAATTTTGACCGGGAAAGTAGGAGCCTGCGGACGAAGCTGCAGCCGAGTCAACTTTATGCCAAGTCGAAATCGAATCTCATATCGGCCGTGCTACGCTGTCTCCATATTATATGCATAATTAAAAGCGGTTCTTCATTCATGCGGGATAAAACGCGACAGAACAAACACAGGCTAGAAATTACAGGCATAATTACGATATTTATGAATCAATACAACTGTGCGTGCGCGATTGCATAAAATATTATCCTGCATTAGTATTTTTTAGAATTTAATCTATCAAAAATTGTAGAAACTTGGAGAGATATTTTGTAATCGGCACGTTTAGAAGATTTGTTAGTTGCACAGTTGCCAAAGGAGCGTTTAAAGCTTAGGAAAAAAAAATAGCGATCGTGTAATCGAACCCTTGATTATGACCATTTCAAACCTCCATTCGGGGATACGCGCATCAGTGTCGTGACAAGGAACCTTGACGCTTTTGACACGCGTTACATCCGTATAGCGGAGTATCAACCTGTCAGGGATGTTGCAGGGTGTGAAACCCCGTGAGTAGGTATATACATATACCCGGGATATACGCGTATATACAACGCATAATATACCAGGTGACCCTCCTCAAACCGAACCACGCCTAGTTAGCCACCATTGTGCACTCCGAGAGTTCATGAACTGGAAACGAATAATCGCGCTCTTGACAACTTGATCGTTACACGACTCCGCTAAATCCTACTTTCTTCGTGAAAAAGTTTGTCTCTGGATTTTGATACCGTTACTGATAACTACATATTCCATCTAGATTTGCATAAACATGAATGTAGATAGAGTATTCGTCCGAGATTGCTACGTACGTATCCATACTTCAAACGTCTCTATCTCTTTTGAGAAACTACTTGCCATCTCTCGAGTTAATCTTTGAGCAAGGATTTGATAAAGACTATATAATTATATCAGATTATTTATCATTTATAATTAAGAAATTTTTTAAGTAATTTTGTTGTATGTATATGCAATTCTTCATTCTAAATCATCATTATAAATATCTAAAATCGATACGAAAAAAACATTTGTGATTAGAATTTTGAAGAGCAATGATTATTTCTGTAACCGGTTACTCGATCTTATTTATGACGCTTCGTAATTTAATAATGCCATTGAATCTATTGAATTATACACGATGTGTAATCCTACGTGTCAGGCGTTGCGATCAAATGAGAAACGTTGCGCTGACCCACCGCAATTTTAATCCATCGTCAAGTCACGTGCTGTCAAAGTCCCCCAAAGCCCACCCCATCTGCGGTTGCATGTGGAAGATCAACGTATTATCTTGCATCAACAACGCGCGACTGCTTTTTATCATCGCGCTATTCACCGGTTCTGCAAACGTGAATTCTCATACGGGTGCGAGACACAGTCCTAAGTAAATAAAATCGCGCTGCACCCTTGCGCAAACGCGCGTCGGGGACTAAACTGCTCGTTTGCGCCGTCATATTTAATTCCGAAAGTCATCCCGGCACACGTGCGACGTTGATCTCATTGCTATCATATCGCACATTAATATTGCAAACTCGATCCCTGATATTGCGGGAAGGAAGAAAAGTTTCAATCCGAAGACAACGTTTAGCATTATTTCGAAATCACAGTCATGTTAAAGAACGTATATAAATTATTAATAATTAATTATTTCATATTTAATAATAACGTTACAAAAAAAAATATCTAATTTAATATAAATTTTCAACTATTCAACTATAATATTTTCCAATATATTCCCAGTAAGTAAATTAGCAATGTTGGTAGATTAATAGCAAATCTTTGATCAATTTGCGAACATTTGAGTTATTGGATTATTAGACAAGAAGGACGCAATATTAATGAACTTTATTGACACACGCCGTGAGAAACTTTTTGCTTATATGTGTATGATTCAAAATTTTGACATGATTCAGAAACTGCCTGAAAAATATATAAGCAAAGCAATATTATAAATTTAGCTTACAAGTAAGCCGGGGAGGAAAAACATATAAATCTGTATTCTACACCACGTATTCGTACGTAACTCAATCGCGAGTATTTTTCTCAGCAGCACTCCTAAAATGTAATCGTTTATTTGGTCGAGAATCGTCGGATGTTGTAAGTTCTCTTGACCTATGTTCGCACACGATCTATTCTGGCGAGAGTAAAAATAAAACGAGAAAACAGAGCGATAAATAGTGACGTTAAGTATTACACCCGATTAGTTACTTTTGTGGGATTATTGCTCGTTCGCTACAACAAAGATAATCGTGTTCTTCCTTGGTCGTTGAACTCAGGAATATAATATGGTGTTTTTCCAACGACAGGAGAATAAAGGGAGAAAGTTTTCGTGTCAATAATAGGATTGCATCGGACACGAGCGGACGTAGAAGGCAACACGCCCTTTTTTAAACCCATTGAGAAAAAGAAAAGAAGAATTTTAGCAGGAAAACCACGAACGAATGCTTCCTTAATCCTTTTCAAAAACGACAATCTGAGTATAAATTA